ATTTTGGAAATTGTCTTCTTTCATAAAAAATAAATCTTGTGCTAAAATATGGAGAAAAACTATGCCAATTTATAAGTAATTTAACAATGCATGAAATGTTCTTCATATAATAATTCTTTGTGATACATTCTAACACTTATTTTAAAAATAAAAATAATTAGTGATGGGACGATACCAATATTTTTACCAAATCACGTGATTTGATACTGTTCTAAATTTCTGATTCTGATATCTACAATGGTTAAAAATTCATTATTCTCAGACTCTACAGTTGGTTTGGGAAACTTAATAAATAAAGTACATTTATTAAGTAAATATTTAGTAGAAGAATGAATACAGAAGCTTATAAAAGAAAGTTAGATTTTCTTTTTATTCAAAAAGATTGGGTAAGAGTTTTAAATAATAAAGAACAATTTCTTTAAGTAAATCACTTGAGTATCTTGCTACTCATATTTAAGTCCTAAAATTCTTAATTATAACATAAGAACATTATCATCTCTCCTGTTTTGACTTTTATCCAATTTCTTTTTGGTAAGTAAATGTTACTTCCAATACTAAATAACTATTCACTTTCAACAGAAGTTGGGAGGTGCTGATAGATATTTCCTGGCTAAAAGTGACATGATGGGAAATTAATTTTTATTTGGATTTCACCACTGAAAAACATTATCATCAATTTTTATTTTTAATGCAATATATTTTGCCATTTCAAGTTTTAGAAAAATATTTCTTTGCTTGTTTCACTGACTGCTTTATCCTGTATTCTCGTACACATTGGTTCCTCTTTTCCTTCATTAATTTTTTTTCCTTTAATTCAGGCACTTCATGAAACTGAAATTAAAGTCACTATGATTATCACTTTTCTCTTCAGATGTGTCAGACAAGTCATTCTTCATGTCTTGTGATATTTTGGGTAAAGTGTCTGTTTTCCCTTCAGTCCTAGAATAGATATCTTGAGTGAACCATTTTGCAATAGCCTTGTCATTAGGCAGGCCACTGTAGTTATTTCCAAGGAAACCAGTCTTGAACCGGAGATCAAGATGTGTTGCTAGAATAAGGTTTTTGTCTTCCAAGTAGCTGCTAAATTTAACATTAAAAGAATCTTTCCATGCTGAAAGGGTTGAACCTAACCCATCAAAACAGTCCCTTTTCTTCTCACCTTTTAAAAAAGTTATAAATGACTTTAATGTGTGGTATATATAATATTACTTAATAAATTTGTACAATCAATGAATTGTTTAAGTATTTTCAGTAATTTCTCTAAAATCTTCCTTTGGTTGGATTCTAAACAATGTGGTTTTGCATGATTACTGTAACATGAAATAAGAGCTTTTTTTTTTTTTTTTTTTTTTTTTTTTTTTTTTTTTTTTTTTGTTCAAATACTCTGGACATCATATAACACTGACTGTTCAATCTTGTCTGGACATCCTGAATAAATTTATGATCTGATAAATTTTTTTCTGGTATTCCTGGTACTTTTCAAAAGCTGTAGGTGTGTGATTGAAGTGGCCAACTATTTTGTTTACAAATAGAAAGCATATCCTTCACATACCTTTTGTGCAAAGATGACATCATTAATGGTCAACTGCAAGGTGTGTAGAAAACAAGGTAATGACTCATATTGGGAATGTACAGCTGCTGTTGTCTTAGCTTCCTTATCTCTCATGAAAACATGAATTTTACTATGAGAAATATTAAATTGCTTTACTGTTTCTGTGATACTCATTATGAAGATTATAAAATTTTAAGAAATACATGATTTTTTTTTTTCTTGCGTAGTATGCTATATAAACAAAATTAAATCATTCTGTCAGATTTAATCAACAAATCATTTACTGGACATTATAATTATATGGAATTTAATTTTTAATTTCTACTTAAGAATAATTGAAAATTTGAATTTTAAAATAAAACTTTATAATAAGAGTATAAATTTTTTTCTAGCTTTTTAAATTTTTTTTTTTTTTTTTTTTTTTAAATCTTTTTTATAAATTAATAAAAATTGTCTGAAAAGAGCCTAGCAGAACAATGTGAATTCATTTTGTGTTTATATTACATAATTTTGATTATAATTGATAATTTATAATATTAAATGGGGGAATTAATGTTTAAGAAGAAATTAAAAATAAAATTTTTATTTTGAACTGAAACACTTTAAACTAGGAAACTTTATGGAAAGTTTGAGAACTGAGTAGAAACTTGTACTTTTTGTTACATTATTTATTTATGTATGTATGTATGTATGTATGTATGTATGTAATAAATTTACATCATACTTGGGTGTTATTATAATCTATTGATTTTAGTTTTATTGATAGTTTAAAATCAATTAATATTTATATCTTTTCATCATTAGTACCAGGAATGGAAAATTGTTTTACACAAAAAAAAAAAAAAAATCCAAGGAATCATTTTTGGAATCGGAAATTAGGTTAAAAATTCTCAAATACCAATGACAATTCTGATACCCTCAAAAAGTTCTGATATTTCCAATTCCGATTAATCACTAAAAATAATTAATGTGTGTCATGTTAGTTGGTTATGTGCCATGCATGATACACATTTAGGTGATCATGTATCTTTTGATACATGACTGATGAGGCAGATTTTTTTCCTGCAGTGGGTTGCCATTTCTTTCTGCAGTAGACCAGTTGCCATCCAAAGCTATAGAACCCAATCTGTCCTGCTATTTACCCATAGCTGGGGGTGGAGAAGAGGATTCATACCTTTCCCAAGGGGTATTAGCACATAAGTGAATGTAATGGATTCAACTGGAATTTGAACTCGGCTCTTTGATTCCTCAATCTGAGCCACTATCCATTACTTCACTGTACTTATCTTTAAAAAAAAAAAAAAATAAAAATAAAACAAATAAGGAGATTACTTATTGGATACTGGTATTTGAATAGATGCTTTTTTTTTTTTTTTTCCTCTCTCTCTCTCCTACATTAATAAACACTATATTTTCGTCTACCATCTTGATTTTTCATGAAATCTTATTAGAGTAAAATATGCACACTCTTGGGGAAAACCTGCTGGAGAGTGCTTATTTTAGACATTCTAACAATGATTATTTTATTTTTAAAAATGACTGTAGGAGGTGGGATTTTCTAAATACAGAAGTATTGTAGTCAGGGTTGGAAAATTTGAATTTCTGAAAGTAGTGAGTTGGAGGATAAAAAGTAATGAGTAACCTGCCCCTGCCTCCACTAATGATTTTTTTTTTATGGTTTTATACAATGTAGTAACTTAAGACTATTTTGTCTATATATTATTCATAAATATTCATTGATCTCTCTGTGGCACAAGTTTAACCTGCTTAAAAAAAAATCAATGGTAATTTTCTTTATATGCAGTTTTAAATCTTCATTGCACAAATTTTTCTATTTTTAAATACAGTAATGAGAATTATATAAAAACAGACCATTTGAAAATTCAGTTATGATTTGTAGTAAAGAATTGTTAACTACATCCTAACTTCTTTTTCTTTTTACATTACACTTCAAATATGTGTACTTGAAGTATGGAGTATACAATATACCCTCAAAATTCCAGTATGTAGGTAACAACTCTTGTCTACGATACTACCGGCCTGCAGTTGGAGATTTGTCTTCAGCTGGGCTGGTTAAACTCTTTGCCTCTGGGCAGAAAGGAACCCCCAGATGGGGCTATGCCAAAGGGCAGTCTCATCTTGGGGAAACACCTACCTGACCCTGTTTTATGGTGGGGTCTACATGAAATTTTTTGCCGAGCCTACAGGCTTGGAAACCCCACATTAAATTTGGCCTTGTGCCACATTTGACTGCATGGGGCAGTTGATAGATACCATCTACAATACTGATTTTGAATTTCTGACACTGACCAAGATGGATGAAAGTGCTCAAACAAAAATATGAACTTTGGACAGTTTATCTACAATTTTGATCTAGATATAAAACTCGGTCAAAAATTTGAAAACTACAATAATAAAAAGAAAATTAAATCCTCTTTGTTGAATTTAATACAATTTGAATGAATTCTTATTGCCAAATGTGTTAGGGGTGGGGAAGCTATATTTATAGGACGGTGTATGTAGTTAGTGTTGACATAGTTATCATACAGTGTTGAGGCTTGTCAGTTTCATGCCTCAAGCAATCTTCAGTCATGTAGATTGCTTGAGGCATCAATTTGGGTCACCATACAGTGTTCTTTTACCTCCGAATTTTTCCCAAACTGTATCTGCTTGTTATGACCCCCTACAACTTTTAAGTTTTTATAATTTTCCTAACTCGAGAAAAGACTAGAACACTCGCTCAAAAATTAAAACTACAGTCTGTCTAGAAAAACTAGAAGCCAAATGGCAACAATTGAAAGAAAAGAGGAAAATGAAAGAGAAAAGGTTAAGGAATGAGTGTAACGTGGGGGCGTCAATGAAAAGGAATAACCATGATATTCTACACATATGTGAAGACGGGTGCAAAGAGCATGAAAACACACACACTCTATGAAAAAAAAATCTTGCACCAGTGATAAGTGCATAGAAGAATTGAGAAGCATAAGTAGTAAATTACCGATACCTCCTGACAAGTGGACGAACAGGTCCATCTGTGAAACTGGAGTTGTGATGCTGAAGTTAACATACATCAGCTAAATGACAAACCTTTTACTTGTATTAATTATATCCTTCATGCAAACCCCTTTGACTTATGTGTTAAAATGGAAAGCAATAGCAGTACCAACTTATTTTGAACCCATCTCCACTCCTTTAACTTATTAGGCATGGGGGTGTTGTGTCTTCCCACCTTCTAATAAAATAAGAATCCTTGACCGATCTGTACCCTTCTGTCTGTCAGCTATAGTGGGTACCAGTGATGATATTATTATAATAAATGCAAGTGATAATTAGTATTGTGGAAATGTACATAAAGAGACCTAGTATTGAACAGTCCAACAAAGGTAGCATTTAAATAAATTAAAATAATTGGTTTTTATTAAAGAACTGTCTAATTTTCCCCTTTCAG